AATTAATTGTACACTTTTTCCTATATACAAGTAACGAGTAGGTCTCACACAAATTATATATTATTATATGATTATAATATGACGTGAAATTATCTACTAACGAGAATTTTTATGAACATTACAAAATACGTTTGTAAGTCATAACAAGCATATATTATAATTTTTTTCAATGGATTCGTAAATAAAATGATGTTTGGTAACTTGTGTTTTTATTTTTATATGTAAGTGTATTATTATTATTTTTTTTTTATTTTTTTTTTATTGTAAATCACTTTATATAAGTATAAGTGCTTATTATATGGATATAGAAATGTATAATATGTACACCCGCAGTAATCGTATAATGGTTTTTTTTGTATATTAAGAGGGATACCATAGTAACGTCAGAATTCCCAACGACGGCTAAAAATTATATAAAGATATTTTTAGCTGACAATTGTTAATAATTAATCAATCATCACACAAATATAATGCATCAAACGTAATATCCAATCGATATTATATGATTTTATTAACTATGAATTACAATACACTTTAAAAACGCTACAATACGCACCCATGTGTTTACATTATCGTCTATAGACTTCAATTAATAGAAACGTATGTTAAACGAATTGATAATGTTAATTTGTTTAAATATTATTTTTTTGAACATCAATAGAAAACACCAGGGAAATAAATGTGAAAATGTCGGTTAAAATGTTTATTTTACAACCTAGAAAGGTTTAAAATAACGTAGTTATACAATTATCAGAGTAATAAATCTATAAAAATCGTATAACTATTACGGTTAGACAACTTTTTTTCTTAAAATTTAGATTTTCTTCAACTATATTAATACATATAAATATGTACAGTATCACGTACTTTCTATGAGTTTCCAAAGTAAAAAGCTGTCCTAGAATAATTTAAACGGATGCACCCACTGTTGTACATGCGAATTTGGGAATATAGGATACAGACGAGAATTTAATGTATATCTGTAAGTAATGATTAACTATTTCTAACGCAAAAATGATTCTGAGCAGATTTCGGTTGATAGTATTGCTTTACCAACAATTTATATTTCGTATTGTGGTAAAATAATTACATACATGTATGTATGTATTTAACATTTTCTTTAATGATAATATTTGTTTAATATTATACCTATTTTCCCATACTTTTCCCATTTATTGGGAAAACTCCTTGAAAAATCGAAAATATGACCTTCTTAAAGTACCTCCCAAGTCAAATATCCTTTCGGAAAAGTGCCATCTATAAAAATCTGAGTATAATGATTATTGATTTTATTGCCTACGACTAGTGTTTATATAATCAACTAGGGCGTTACCCGTGCCAATTTGTATTATTATTATTTTACCCATATTCATTTTTGGTTTTGGCCGTGTTAGAATTGAATGAAAACAATGATATTTCAAGCGCTTAGGATAAATTCATTCAAGTCGATCCAGCTGTTTAGTCGCATTATAGATAAATATTCCGACGGAACTTGCAACTAATATAGCTGTCCCGCCCACCGTTGTCAATTTTCTATTGTTTTTTCCCCCTATTCTTTTTTAGTTTTTGACCGTGTGAGTAATGAATCAAAAAAAATAGATGGAAAGTGGGTAGTCCACCTTCGGCGGAATAAGTGTTCTATTATGACATTTTTTTCATGATTTTCATCCGAAAAGTAACGAAACCTCAATTTTTTTAAATGAGGGGGGGGGGGTTGATGGATTTCAAAGGAAATTAAGCCTAATCTAACTTATCAGGAAGTGGGGACGCTCGACAGTGGGAAAGTGCGTGTGCCGTATAGCTAATTGTCGTTCGCAGACGGCACGGTGTTTGTTTTATACCTTCATGTGAACATTGGCCGACAATTTATATTAATAAAAGTTAATAATTCAGTTGTTAATCTGTACGTATAAAAATGGATCGATATTTTGTCAGTGCTCCCTTAAATTGAATATCATCTAAATTTCAAACTTTTCCGGTAAATTTTCTAAACATCGTCTTTCATAATAACTTTACGAATACACGACAAAAAAATCAGGCATATCGGTCCGTCCGTTTTCAAGTTATGGCGTCGGCAAAAAATATCAATTCATTTATATATACCTATATAATATAAATGTGCGTATTTACGGATATATTCAAATTTATATTTAAAAAAATAATAACTCGATTGTATCATTTTCTTGGCGTATCACTCTTTGATGAATCTTTATTTATTCATTTTCTATCTGAATGAACATTTCAATTTTGGGACAACTTACGCGGAATATCTTATTAATTATTCATTTTTTTTGTTTTTTTTAATTTCATCAAAAAAAAAAAAAAAATCGCTGTACTAAAAATACAAATTACTCTGTGTCAGTACCCTTGCAATGCCACCTATCGAGTCCAATTGTGAATCTAAACCATCCAGGGACCCATTCAAACACACATAAAATATTTTTGTCAAAATCAGTCCAGCCGTTTGGGAAGAGTTCAGTGACATACACACGTACAGTAGAATTATATATATAAAGATGAATGAAAATAATTATTCGATTTTTATATCGAAAAAAAAAATAGTATTTGGTGTACATCAAATAATTACCTAATGTTGCGTCGTAATTGAATTGAGATGCAACTAAAAATACACTCGTGCTAATTATTGATAAAACTATCTTCTAGGCGTTTCATTATTTATGTACGTTATGATTTATTTATTTTTATTATTTTGGTTTTTCTGTTACTCAAAATGCATTAATTTCTTTCTGTATTTTTTCACGTTAAAACGGCTATATTTATTTATTTTTAATATTAGATTCAGAGATCTATTGGTTTGTGTTTTTTTTTTTTTTTTTGGTCTATAAGCAATTTTTCCTCCAAAGTATTATGAAAAATTAGATATAACGGGAAAATATATAAAATGTAGTTATTAGTAATACAATATTAAGGCTTTTTATTTTTCCTGCGAACTAATTTCTACCAACAATTTCGCTCTTGGTTACAACTTTTTCTGAAAAGAAATATAACTGGGATGGTAAGTACTTTACGGAGACCATTTTTTTTATTTTCCCAACTGTTTTTAAAATAAATGGAATAAACTGCGAAAATACATGGTAAAAACGGGAAAATAAGTACAATATTAACAAATACGTAATTATTTTACTATAATAATATGACACATATATTGTTGAAAAAACAACACTGTTAACCGAACTCGGTATCGTATTTTGTTAACAGTAGTAAACCGTTGCGTTCAGATATGCATTAAATTTCCCCTCAAACTTCCCAACTTCTCACCTACAAAAGTGGCCCGTCCACGTGCGTTGGATGTCCGTTTTTTTTTATGTAATTTAGTTGAATATATTTGTTTTGATTTGAAATTTTGACAAAAACTTAAATTTCTTTTTTCTAGGCCTGGAAAAATTTTCAAAACTGTTTAGTGATTTTTGAGCTATTTACAAACATTTTAATTTTATTTTTAATTTTTACGAAATTATTGTTTTATAGGTACTCTTTGGATAAAATAAACAAAACTGCTTGACCATTTGACAAGTTATTATAATTCATACTTAGTGGTAAAAAAAAAAAAAATTAATTTCATTATAAATAATATTTTGACAAAAATCATAAATATTTCACTGGATTTGTGTTTTTTAATATTTTTTTTTAAGTTCAGAGAAGAAAGTGAATTACCAATAATAATTAACGAATGTAATTACAGACTGCAAGTACATAATTATAGGTAATTTTCTTTAAACTTTAAAAAATAATTAAAAATCAGGAATTTAATGAAAACTGAATTTGTATAGACAACATTTTCGAAATAATGTAATAAACTATAAATGGCTTTCATCAAATTTTTCAAAAATAATAAAATAATAATAAATTTTTTTAAGTCGTTTACCAAAACGTATAAAATAAATTAAAATATGAAGTATTTTTATTCCTCATCCTCGTGAGTAATATGAAAAAACAGAATTTTTTATTGTCTCAGGAGATACTGCAATGGGTATACTTTCGTGGGACACCCTGTATAAATGAAAAGTAAACCCAAACGTTACATGACACCTGTAGAAATATTCGAATAGGTATTAGTTGTATTATAATATTAAAACGTTCCTACCTATCGTATTTTCTCGTATATTATTGCGAGGACGTACCTACACGTGTGCCTTTTTATTATGAAGGTCGTGCGTGAAAAAAAAAATGTCTATTAAAATCATTAATAACGACATTCAACTTACTGATATAGTGTAGAATACTCGTATTTCACGTGTGTAGCGATGAATCAGATAACGCGGACAAATAGCTACACAACGTTAGATATTTATAGAACAACAAAAATCGAACTCCTGCAGTATATTTTTATACATTTTCGACTAGTCCCTTAGGCTTGAGCTTTAGATTCCGACCGTAGCGAGGGAGCTATTGGTATTACTAAGATGTTTATTTTTTTTTAAATTCCGAGCGTAGCGAGAACTTCGTTCTAGACTGTGGACACGTTTTTTCCTACTAAACTTGCTCCGATTTTTACACTCTGAATTATAATTGTTAATAAGAAAAAAAAACTATTTCAATGTTTTTAATACTCGTATTATTCATAATATTTTGTTTTGTTTTTTCGTTTTTTAAATACACTTGAAAAAATATTGGATTTGATGTAAATTAAATTTGTATACTTGTGCATTATCATAATTATCATAAATTTATTCGTGTGTAGTGGTAAGTTATATAGGGAATCGTGAATCACCAATTCATAATTTTTGTCTTTTCTACTAGGCATATAAAAACTGAGTGAAAACTATGGAAATATATTGTAATTATTGTTTGAAAACTGCGTGAAAATTAAATTTTTAAATATAATATGTATTTATTTATTATTTGTGTCAAATTCATCGCGAAAACAGAAACTATTTCACTATATAAAATATAATAATCGTGTCTGTGACTTATTATTATACACAAAATATTATTATATTTATATTTTTCCCGCTACTTTTCGGCTTTTCCAATGGGTTCCTCTGGATCGAATGATCTCATACTCATAAATCGTTTTTTGATTGTATTGGTTCATTGTTGTATACGTCAGTATGTAAACTAAATTACCCTTAAATTTATCCCTTACCTTCCTGATTTCCCATCAACAACAGAACCCTACCCATGATGCGATGTTTTTCGGGGCTTTTTTTTTTCCATTTTCGCGTCGACCGCCATAAATTACGCACAATTTACATAGGTAACCGTTGAACTATAATATTATAGATATTTCTTATAGAGCAGCGGTAATAAATTAATCTGTTAACAATTTCTCAAACTTACTGGGATTTAAAATATTTAATTACCAATAATTCGGGGTTTTCGTTTAGCCCCTCCCCCTAATTTAGACGGACTGCTGTTTTACCGCAACTTGTATAAATAAAAAAACATACGCGCAAGAAAAACGTAGTAATAATTTTTGGCTCCAAGGTCGAAAATTCACTACCTCGTTAAATATTTCTAATTGTTTTAGCTGCATTATTTAAATAACGATTAATTCTTAAAATGATAACGTGCATTTGCGATTCCGATATAATATTATTAACATGTTGCTGTTGAGTACTTGCGTAATAATTTTTTATTTAATTTTTTTTTTTTGTGTTGATAGTTAACATTATAATCATTACAACATGTTTAATTATGTAATAGTACTGAATAATTATAACGAGTTCCATTAAAATGTTTTATGAACGAATATTTATATTATTGTATTATATTGACTTTATTACATTTAACAAAAAAAAAAAGAGTTGATATTGGCATACTGCGTTTTATAGATGGAAAGTTTAGAAGGTAGGATACTTAAAGTTCTGTAATTTAGGTATATCTGTACGCCACAATAAATTTTTGCTCACAAAAAACGATTTTGGTCAATGTTTGACTAAAAATATAATGTATTGAAATGCTATGCTTATTTTTATTAAAATTTGAACATAAAACGCTTATAGAAAAATTATCACATAATTACTAAAATGATGTACCTCACGTCCAATTTTTTATTTATTTATTTTATTTATTAACGGACTTAGAGCCTAGTAAAACAATACAATTACAGTAATAAATACATTTTAACAGTAAAGCATAAATATTAAAATAAGCAAACAATAGAATCGATTTAAATTACAAATGATGATATTGAAATTAAAATATGAAAAATGGTGTCCTTAATAAACAGTTAACAAACTGCAGTCCTTAATATTAAACAAAAAAATTTAAGAAAAGCTTAAGTGCTCGAGAATCCACAGTTGACCTTAGTAGTCAAAAAAAAAAAAAAAAAATGAGCTAAATGTAATATATTTTTTATAAAGAAATTTCGATATCAAATTTTGACAAAAACCATTTGAGTCAAAAAGTACGTAGAACAAATTTAATTATTCAAATTTTTGTTTTGAATATAATATTTATATTTCCGATTAAAATACGGTAGGTAGTGGAGGCGAAATTAAAAGGACCAAGTACATGTCGGTGTTAAAATTCTTGATTTCCGTCAACCCGTTGACGAGACATTGTTTTTTGATTTTTAATATAGGTTGCAGCTGTTCGAAAAAATCAAAAATGAGTAACTGTTTCACTCTCCAAATATAAGAATAATTTAACATATGACAATATATGATTATAGAAAGTTTTTAAACAAATTATTTACCAAAAAAGTAATTAATTCATGGAAAATCTGACTGCAACTTGAAATTTTAAAGACTCTGTAGTTGTTTACGTATTATAAAATATCTATTAGCTTTATCTCAAATTCCAGCTATTGGATTTTCCTGAATTTTGCTATCTAAGGGTTTTCGAGCATGAGAAATCTATTCGTCCGAGTCTGTTTTTCGGGGAAATTCGATTTAGAGTTTAAACAGAGTGCCGAAATTATGCGTTTTCGTGTATCTTTGGCAATTTTTGGATGAATATTGATCACGCCATAGCAACATTAATACGGAGATCTACGTGAAGTATCTACGGTGATGATATCCATGCGTTGTGGTCAACGAATAAATGGGTTGTTGTTTTTTTGTTAAACATTTAACAATACTTGAATACTTCAATTATTGACATTTGTTTATTTTTTTTTTTCGTTTTTTTAACGAAGAAGATACCGGACTCTGGGCCGTTTGATCTTCTGACTGTTTGTTCTAATTGAATATTAATAATTTATAAAAAATACTTTTGAAGACAATATACACTTTCGTAAAAATTAATTAATCGAAATAAACTTTAATCATTTTTAACTTATTGTAATAGGTATACATCGGTGTTACGGTATACGCAACTGATAGTATTATTGTTTCTGACATATTTTCATCATCAAAACTCGCATAATATAAGCTCGTTAAAATATAAATAAGCTTTTCAACGGTAAATTTTTGCCCTAAGCAGTGGCGAAATCGACTCGTAAATTTAAAGGGGGTGGCTTTAGACGATCCTTCGAAAATTATGAGATCGGTTATTTCAAACGACGAATATTAATAAAAAGGACGGATATACTTCGCACGTAGGTGGGCCACTATTGTAGGTGAGAATTTGAGAAGGTAGTAGAGGAAAAATTTAATGTATATTTACAAGCAATGATTAACCATTGCTGACAAAAAACGATTCTGAGCGGAGTTCTGTTGATAGTGCTGATTTGTCAACAATAGATATGTCATATTATGGCAAAATAATTATATACGCATTATATAATATGTTCTTCAATAATATTTGTTTAATAATAGGTATTTTCCCGTTTTGCCTAAGTTTTTCCCATTTGTTGGGAAAACCCCTAGGAATATCAAAAACAATCTTCGTAAAGTATCTCCCCAGTCAGATTTACTTTCAGAAAAAGTGCTATCGTTGTAAACCAGAGTAAGAGCTGGTAGAAAATTTGTCTGCAGAAAAGAAATATTAAAATTAGCATCACTGTAAAACCAATACATTCCTCGCTCCGCTCAGAATCTGAAATATAAAGAATAGTTATTGAAAACTAAGTAATAGAATAAATACGTATTAATTTGCATTTTATCGTATGTTGTCCCGTTTTCAAACATTTTATCGCGCGGTAGTCGTATATAATATAACTTTCAAACGTACCTATAAAAGTTACGACTTTTTATAAAATCAATGTTTTTTCATTTATTGTCAATACACCGTGTAATACGCGAATACGAATAATAATATTTTAATAATAATGTCACCGTTACACAAGCGAACGAAATTGTACATAATATTCGTATAATATTATAATCTGTCCCCGTGTATTACGCGTAACACGGGTCACGACTCGACCGTTTTTAACAGTTTATCGCGGCCGATCGGGCGCCCGACCGAAAAACTTACTAAAAAAAAAAAAAAATTATAATAATAATAAAAACTGGCGAACTCCCGGTGGAAAAAAAAACGTTGTTATATTGAATAACAACGACACCGTCATCCGTGTCGCCCGTAATCGCGTAGAGTATTTAAACGTATCGGCTGCTGATATTGTAATCTTTAGCGGCCCGTCAGTGTTCGACGCTGCTATATTAATCGTCACTAACGTAAGTCCGGTTTTTCGTCAACGTTCGAATATTGTACCGAATCGTTCGCGAAAATACCAAAGAAACAACAATATAACATGGCACCGAACGTAGACGTGACGGCGGCGCCGGAAAGCCAGAAAGTTTACAACGATGACGAGGTCGTCATCTCCGGTATTTCCGGTCGCTTGCCCAACTGCGATTCTATAGAAGATTTCAAGGAAAAACTGTTCAACGGCACGGACATTGTAGATGAAGGAGAGAGCAGATGGCCAGACGGTAAATATTTGTTTGATATTCTGTACAATTTTTTGTTGTAAAACTACATTACATAGGTGCGGGTAAAATATAATTCCGTAATAGGGACCTCCTGCGGCGTTATCGAACGTTTTTGTTTCCAGTTTAAGATTGTGAGCGTAAAATTCCTCGCTAAAAAAAAAAAAACAACCACACATCGTAGTAAAAATAATATTATTATTGTGATAAACATTATCGGTGAACAATTTTTCGACTATAAATCTCGTTCCGTCGAACGGATCTTTGCAAATGTCAAGTCTCAAAAATGAGGTTATTTTTATCGCAATTCAGTGAAAAATCGTCAGCAATGAACTTAGAGTCATCGAATACGTCTTATATTATAGTACTTTATACATTATACAGAGTGATTTTTTTTTTTATCATGAACAAGAAATTATCTCGGTGGATTTTAAGTGAATTTAATTTCTTTGTGTGATTTCTATTGGAAGGTATAAGTCGATATACGCCGTATACCTTCTGATTATGGTCGGATACTCTCTGTGATAGTGAAATCACAGCATTTATTTTAAAAACGTATTATTATTATTATTATTATTTTCGTTTTTGGTTGGTTAAGAAAACATAAATTATTTAATATTTAAACCTTTTACTAAAACATTAGGCTAGACAATGCACTTGAGAACATTGCATTTATACCTAATAATGACATGGTTATAACTTATATAGTGTACTCTCTATTTCTTTTACGACTACAGAACTGGGGAAAAGTTATCAATTTATAATTTGAACATAGATATGCAATTTATGACCCACCCCTACTCGTTCGATCCAATAACTATAAACGGTTATAACTTACAAACGGTAAATCTGATAATAGTGTTTTGCGTATTAAAATGTCCAGAAAAATTTCCTCTATTCGAATCTGTGTTCAAAAAAAGGCGTTCCTATTTGAAAAACAATAGTTTATACTTAGATATTTACAATATTATATAAAGTAGAAAGTGAAAAAATTAAAAATTGTTTTAAAATAAAGCTTAAATGATTACACAATGATTAAAAAAAAAACCTAAACAATTTTCCGAGATAATTGCTGGTTTAAGATAGAAAAAAAAAAATCATCATTTGATGTTTTCGAGTTTTTATTCGGAAGATATTACACGGATAAAATTTCTCGAAAATGCTTACGAATTTCAACACAACGTTCATTACAAGTTTTAATTAGTGATGGAAAAAAATATTTAACATAATGTAGTAGATTTTTTTTTAATGCGTTGCGTTTTAAGATTTTATATGCATCAAATTTTGAGGAAAACCGTAAAAATTACTGCAGCATTTCAAAACATGTTTAACCGAACTTCGCTCAGAATTGTTTTTCGTTAGCAATTGTTAATCGACGACTGCAGATAGAAATTAAATAACTTTGTATATCCTACCATCCCAACTTTCCACCAACAACAGTAATTGCACATCCGTCCACGAAAACTTTTCTTTTTAATATAGATATAAAAATGTAATTTATTTTTACCTACGCTTTAAAATTTAAATTTTTATCAAAATTTGTTGAAAACACGAACAATCAATTGCAATATTTTTTTTTTTTTTTTTTGAAATTTATCAACACTTTTTTAATTCCATTCAGATTTAATGATTATTTTTTGTCATTTTACGTGTAATGTGTAATTTCTCGACCACTTATAAAATAATTATTTCAATATTGTGTAAAAACCAATGAACGTCGCGTTTCAGGTATCAGCGGTGCCGTGACCAAGATCGGAGTGATGAAAAATTTGACCAAATTCGATTCGATATTTTTCAATTTAAACCCGAAAATATCCGAGAGGTTAGACCCGCAAATCCGTTTGATGTTAGAATGTACTTACGAAGCCTTCGTCGACGCCGGTGAGATTTTCTGTTGTTATTATTATTATTACTGTCGTCGAAATCAATCGAATTTTACCCGATGTTTTCGTAACGCGCGCATTACACAAATTATCATTAACATAATATTATCATTGCAATAATTACAGGACAGAGCCCGACGGCACTCAGAGGATCGAATACCGCGGTGGTGGTGGCTACCACGAATAACGATTACGCCGATTGGTGGTCGGCCGACCCGACCAGAGTAAACGGTTACGAGTTTTTGGGTTGTACGAGAACCATGTTCCCGAATCGTGTTTCGTTCTCGTTCGATCTGAGAGGTGACGATCTATGTTACAGTTTCAAACAACGCTCGTATATCGCCGATTATATTTCAACAGCACATATCTCCAAATTTAATAAAATTAAACACCTATATTTAGTAATAAATATTAATAAAATAATTGTCGCCGAACATTTTTCGGTTCTACAATTTGTTTTGTCAGACTAAAAGACCACTTTGATCATCCAAAAAACTTCTATCGACATAACGTGTTATCTCAGATTTCAACACAATTAATTTGATAATACAGTTTGGACACGGGTTGTTTTCCTAAAATGTAGAAACAATTAAGTGTTTACGAAAATGGTTTTCGAACGTTCTGTAGAACTAGAAATACAGACTGTTGCAGTATTAGCGACGATATTTTAGGTCACATATGTATATTTATTTATATCGTTTAGTGAAATGGGTTTTTTTTGTTTTTCATAAAATGGACGTTTTGCACTACATACACGAAAAAGCATAATAATTCCACGCAAATAATATTATATTTAAATTGATACAAAAATCACTACAAAACAGTGACGGCGCAAACAATTTTAATTCGTGAGACATTATAATTTTTTTCCGCTTTCCCACCCCTTAAATAGATTATTAGTTCGTCCATCCAAAATTCATCTAAAATCTGGTGACAACTGGAAAAATTACAACTAGCCAGTTCAAAAGATGCCAACCATCCACCAACCCACCAAATTTTTGTCTGGGTCGGTTGTCTCAATAAATCTCGGTCGTACCGCCACTGCTACAATATAATCGAAAAATGTCTAAAAATAAGTATGACAATTTGTTCATATCAATTTCAAAGTAATTACTAATAGTGTTGTAAATCTGTTATACTTTTACTACTTTCAGTACTTAGTTTCATACCTGTATGACAAGCTATGAACAGGGTTATAAGTTCGTGCATTTAAATGTTTATTTTTGATAGAGAGATAGTGTTTGAATTTAAAAAAATAGAAGAAGAGAGACTATAAGAATTTAAAAATGAAACAGATTTCCTTGCAATTGTTCAAACTAAATTACTTATGTATTATTCTTAATAATGGGGAAAACTCGACAAATGTATTATTCGCGGTATTATTTTACACGTTTTTCATATTTTACGGCCGATACTGTTTATTGTGATCAGTGCCTATATACTTGTATACACCGCGACCGCGGTAACCACAATTACTAATAATGTTATTACGTCGCGCGGTTCTTAGGGCCCAGCTACGCCATAGATTCTGGATCTTCGGGCGGTCTGCTCGCCTTCGAACACGGTTACAGATTGCTGAAAACCGGAACGGTGGACGGTGTCATTGTGGCCGGAACTTCGTTACTGCTCAACCCTGTGTTGTCGGTCATGATGCAAAAGATGAACTTGATCTCGCCCGAGGGCAAGAGCAAACCGTTCGATGCCTCCGGTACTTATATTATATACTAGAATTTTATCGCGTAAAATTGATGGGGTTTTTTTTTTTTTTAATTTTTGTATTTTTACGTGTTTCCAGGCACTGGAACCGTACGTACCGACGCCGTTGTCATCATATACATGCAGCGTGCCAAAGACGCGAAACGAGTGTATGCCACCGCCGTGAACGCGTGCACCAATAACGAGGGTTTCCGGTCTGAAGGAGCTATTTATCCCACCAACAATCAACAAATCGAACTGTTCAAAGAAGTCTTGGAAAACGCCAAACTCCAACCAGCCGATGTCGATTACATCGAAAGTAGTGCCGGCGGAATCCAGGTACTTCCATATGTATAATTATTTAGAATATAATAGGTCTCATTGTTGATTATTGCGAAAAAACCTAAATATTCTCAAACGAACTTATGTATTTTTTTTAAATATCATCCGAAAACGCCGCGTCTAACTAATTCGTAAAAGTCCCAACTCCACGAGCGCGCTTTTTTTTTGTTCGTATTTTCGTAATGTATTTTTTTTTTCGAATATAATAAAATATTGCGCGTCATTTAGAAGCACGTGGACTCAAAAATAATAATTTATCCTTCCGTGAAAGTATTGATAAGCATACGGCGAAAATTTCCCATATATTAATGTCGATTTTCGTCTCTCGTGAAAAGTAGTCAATAGGTACGGCGATAGAACGTGATTGCGAATAAGTTGACGCGTTTTCTATAGTATGTAACGCTACTGAGTAATGATAAATATTAAAATTACGCGTTTAGTTGAACGACGCTCAAGAACTCAACGCCATATCCGAAGTTTACTGTAAAAACCGCACGAAACCGCTGTTGATCGGATCCGTGAAATCAAACATCGGCGACAGCGAACCGGTGTCCGGACTCTGCGGCGTGTTTAAGACAGTGCTGGCCATGGAAAAACAACAAATTCCCGCGACACTCCACTACAAAACCCCGAATCCCCGAGTGCCGGCTCTGAAAGACGGTCGGCTTCAAGTGGTAAGCAAACCGTTACCGTGGACAGGTCAATACGCCGCGGTTAATGCCGTAGGAATCGGCGGACTTAACGCACAAGCCCTACTGAAATCTAACAAAATAGAAAAAAAACCGCAACCGCAGGACCCCATCCCTCGATTGATAGTCGGGTCCGGCAGAACCGAAAGTGCGATAAACTACCTGTTGAACAGAGTAAGAGAGTTTATCTTTTTTTTGTTTATTTTTTTTATTTTCAGCTCGTATTTGTTAGAAAATAATATTATAATTTCGCCAAACAGGTAGAAACCGGGCCCAAAGATCCGGAATGGTACGGTCTGTTGTACGGAGTTCATAGTAAAAATATCGCGGGACACAATTTCAGAGGATACACCATTTTGGGAGAGAAGAACGGTCGCGAAACAGCGGTGAGTATCCAATTGTTAATATAATAAAATCTATTAATACCCGACGATTGAAAATTAAAATAAATATATATATATATATATATCGATTCCGTTCTGTAGATCCTCGAAGCGGGTAAACGTCAAGTTTGGTACGTGTTTTCCGGTATGGGAAGTCAATGGACCGGTATGGGTCGCGATCTGTTGGCGTTGCCACAGTTCAAAGCATCGATCGAAGAATCAGCTAACACGTTGAAAACCCTCGGACTGGACCTGTACGCTATTTTCAATTCCAACGATAAAACCGTTTTCGACAACGTGCTCAACTCTTTCGTCGGAATAGCGGCCGTTCAGGTTTGCGTTATATTATACACATTATATTCGGGGATGGTTAAAATACTTTAAAATGAGTATCTAAATAAATTGATCTTTAGTATCTCTTAGATACATGATAATTCTAATAATTGCGTGAAAATTATTGCAATACAAGATAATAGTTGCTTAAGTTGTACGAATTTAAGTTACTCGGTACACGAAAACCAAAATATCAATTACATGTTTAACACGTATGCAGTAGGTATCTTAATAGATACTACGGTTATATTTCGTTTGAAATATTTTTTTCGAAATTCTCAACAATCACTTTCAGTTTCTAATTTTTCGAAAATCCGATGCGGAAAATACCTCTCCTTCGTGCATCTGTACAAGGGAGATACTCTATAGATACTCGATACCGACCATATTATTTTCGGTATCGCAATACAATATACTGGATGATACAAGATATACAATCGTATCTAACGTAATCGAGATACTGCTGAAAATACCGTCCCCAATACTGGTTATATTATTTAGATGTATTATAACCGATCACAATATATTGTATACATTTTTTCGTTTACAGATTGCTCTGGTCGACGTGCTCACCGCCGTCGGTATCACCCCCGATGGGATCGTCGGACATTCGGTCGGAGAATTGGCTTGCGCATATGCAGACGGAACTTTGACGGCCGAACAAACGATTATCGTGGCGTACTGGAGAGGTCGCAGTTTGTTAGATTTGAATTTGCCGCCCGGTGCTATGGCCGCAGTCGGTACGTAATATTTTACATTTTATATTCCGAGTATAGCGAAGAAGCCGTTAGTTTCGCAAAGATGTGGTTTTTTTTTCTCGGAAAACGTTTTTCGAAAAAACGCTCTAATTTCTTCCTGTCACACTACCTAAAAATACTTTTTTAACCCGACAGTATTTTAAAAAAAACTATTTTTTAATATTCACAATCGCTTTTCCAAAAAAAGTTGTTTTTTGGTAACGAGGTGAAAACCACGTATAATACTACTCTGCTCATAATCTTTTTATCGTTATCAATGATTTATCGTTGTATACAGTGTGTAAACTCATCAATAACCCTGTATATCCTACCTTCCCAACTACCTATGTAAAACAAAGGCCTACCGGCTACTCATGAGCAATATCAACTTTTTTATATAACAATAGCTGATATTTGTGTAAATACAATTGAATTTTAATATAACACCATGTTATTTGTTGAATACTAGGACTGTCGTGGGAAGAAGCTTACGCACGAGTACCGTCTGACATCGCCGTGGCTTGTCACAACAGCGAAGACGGCGTTACGATTTCTGGTCCACCCGATTCGATCGCGAAATTCGTCGAAAAACTCAAGTCCGAAGGCGTGTTCGCCAGAGAAGTCAACAGTTCTGGAGTGGCTTTCCATTCTTGGTACATTGCCGCTGCCGGACCCATATTTAAAGAAAAAGTCACCGGAGTACGATTTTTATTTTAATTACTACATAACATTATTTAATAATTTCGTATTATCTCCGTACGTAGATCATCGGAAGTCCGAAAGCGAGATCACCGAGGTGGATAAGTACGTCGGTGCCGGAGTCCAGGTGGAACGAACCGTTGGCGCAATTTTCGTCCGTAGCTTACCACGTAAACAATTTAGTGTCTCCGGTGTTGTTCAACGTGAGTTGTTATTTGGAAATCGATAATTATGATACACCGTCGGTAATTTCTTGGGTATTTTTTTTTTTTAGAGCGCGTTGAAACACGTACCCGACAATTCGGTGGTCATCGAAATCGCACCGCACGCCCTCTTGCAAGCCATACTGAAACCCAGCGTCGGTCCCAAATGTACGCACGTGGGTTTAGTGCGGAGAAACCAATCGACCGTTTCAAACTTGTTGTCTAGTATCGGTAAACTCTACAACGCCGGGCTACAACCAAAATTAGAAAACCTGTATCCGCCGATTAGCTATCCGGTATCCCGGGGCACGCCGTCCCTCCAACCGTTAGTCGAATGGGACCATACCGACGACTGGGAAGTGATCACTTACTACGACCACGAAGTTTCGTCGTCCGGCGACGTCAAATTAAACATCGATTTGCAAAGTTACTTGAAGGGATCTTATATCGACGGCGTAGAAGTCCTTCCGTACGCCGCGTACCTTGTGCGTGATAACGCGTAGATTTTTTTTTCGTTTTCATAAAAATACGCGTATAATAATAGGTATCTGGTATAAATATGCTAATAATAACAATGCGTTTTGCAGACATTCGTATGGAAAGCTTTGGCCAAATTACAATGTACCACCGTCGAGAACGTACCCGTCGTTTTCGACAACGTTCGGTTCTTCAAACAATTACCCATTCCGGCGAACGGTAAGAAAACGGCTAAATCGAATGTAAAAAAAAAAAAATCCGAATTTAATTTTTACACGATATTCGTTTCTAATGACGTACAGGAAAATTCACTCTCAACGTAAACATATTGGCGGGCTCCGGAGAATTCGACGTCCGGGAAAGCGGTTCCGTCGTGGTATCAGGTTTCGTCAAAATCCAAACGTCCGACGAACAAACGCAATTGCCGGAGATCAAATCGTACGAAATTAATCAGCTATCGACCGCCGACATTTATCAAGATCTCGCGTGCAAAGGTTACAAGTACAGCAAAGCCTTCCAGGGAATTAACGTGGCCAGCAACGACGGTATAGTATTTCATTCAGATAAAATATACTTGGTGCCGTGGAAGAAGTACTTAAATCATTTTTAACTTAAATTATTATCAAAATTTCATAAGTGCATTTATCTTCAAAATTAGAGCGTATAGTGTAAACTAATATACACTGAGTTTTAGTAATTTATGTATAAGTGTAATATTTCCAAATACATGTAATTTCCTTGTATTATACGAACTACATACTAACTGCTGCATACAATTGACATGAGCCCATTTTCGCCGGAACCAAAGTTATATTTGCCACGTGGACTTTAATATTAATTTAGTAAGTTATTATTATATTATGCTTCTTTTACATTATAGGAAATAGCGGATATATCGCTTTCGACGGAAATTGGGCACCGTTCATCGAATCTTTGTTACAATTGCACCTGTTGAAACTCGATACGAGAGATCATTACGCTATCAATTACTTGTTCAAATTGAGCATTAACCCGGAAAAGCAATACAAGTCTGTGTCTTCAAACGGTAATTACCTACCAATTTTTAAACGGTTTTTTTTAACTTATACAATTATTCTTTATTCATATTATTTTCTGATTTTGTTATTTTTTCTCGATTAAAACGGGTCGTGATAAAATCTAAAACTATAATAGTACTTACGGTTTTTCACAACGTATTTACATAATTTTACATTAGCTATAGTGCTCTGTGGAGTGGCTGCCCTACGCGGCTTTACCCTTGCACACTATTGAACGAAAAAGAAATAAAAACGTAAGAGAGAATGGGGTAAGTCCGGTCAGTGGGTAATGCCAGTCAGTCTACTATCTCGGTACTGGCAAGATTATAAAATCCGGTTAAAAGTGCAATCAATAGGTATAATATGATTGCCATAACCTAATTTTATGTTTGCCGCGCTTCTTAAAGTTAAAATATTTTATCACCAAAATTCATCTTATCATTTTTTTGTCGTCCACACTATACAGTTTTCATTTTTCATTTTCTCAAGGTAAAAAATAATTGTTTTAATTTTGACTCTTCTGTAGTATTAAAATGTGTAGAATTTTGTGTGTTTTCCAAATATGTTAACAGAATTTGAATATTATATCAGAATAGGTAATCGTATACAATTTTTAAACTTCGTATACAATTGGTTAACACCGGTCAAAATCTACGAGGTAATAGCGGTCGTAATACATACTAAGTGTTTCCTCGTTTCAACTCGCGTCCCGATTACAGTTAAAACCACTGTCGTAGTAATTTATTCGTTCAAAAGGATACGGTTCCATCCGTGTCGCCAATGTAACCCGTGTAATTTAATTGAAACAAATTGTTCGCGAAATAACAAAACAAAAACCCACGTAATCAAACCCTTTAGAGGTTGAAATTCGGAAATCCGACTTCGAGGTGCATATACTGATCCGTTCGTCCATTTCTGCATGTGCAGTTACAGACCTTTGTATGCGATAGATTTACAGGCTGTACATCGCGCACAGGCAAACAAATAAATTCTTTTATTAGTATCGATCAGTGGTTTTCAAACTGAGTGCCGGGATCTTTTTAAGTTTGTCTTCCTTACAATAACGACGGACCACCGGTTACAGGAATCCGCTCGTTAAGTACATGAAGTTGTAAATCTTTCGACCATGGCTCATCAAGTTTGTTATTATCTCTAATTTTGTACAAAAAGTTAAAAGACGAAAGAAAAAAAAAAAGGTCACAGTGTACCGTGAAAATATTGTGAAAAGCTAAGTGTGCCGTGATCGAAAAAAGTTTGAAAACCACTTATATATAGATTGTTATTCATGTTCCAACAGCCGCGGCGTTCAGCGTTTACGAAAATATCGGCGTCATTAAATCGGCAGGAGTCGAGATCAGAGACGTGAGGTCGACGTCAGTGCCGGTCCGGAAAGAATTACAACAGAATTTCGATTTGGAATCCTATATATTCGTACCGTTCGTGTCGGACCAAGTGCGTAAATATAATTCGGTCGTCTCGGCACTGATGCGCTCCAATCGTTCGCAAAAACTGATTTATTATTATTATTATTTTGTTATCAGGCCGTCAGCGAACCCCTCAACTATATCGTTCAAGTCGTGTTAGAAAACGCGTGTGGACCTTTTGATGTGACGGAAGTAGTGACCGCACAGCGAGAACTTTTGGTTTCACAGATTTTAACTTTGGCCTCTGCCAAATATCCGTTCCCGGTAAGATCGGTTGTAATTGATACGTTTAATATTAGTTTACAAAAGCTAAGGTATTTACATTTCTCTCCTCTTTTTTAGATCAACGCTAACGTCTACGCCAAAGATGTAAACCGTTACGAATCCGAACAGTCAACGGCCGATTTTTACGAACAAGATTTAACATCCAACAAATTGGAACGGCAATCGTTTTTCGTCGTGGCAACCAGTGTAGTTGAAAACGCAGATTTGTTGAAAAACGTATTGTCCGGCGTACAGACCGGCGGTTTCTTGTTGACCGTCGAAAGTAAATTCGACTCGAAATTCAGACAAGTCGGACTAGACGTGGTCGCCAAGTATTCTGACGGCCAAAACTTTTACGTTTTGTTGAAAAAGGTATACAACCTAAATAAATAGCGCGCAATTAAAACGATAGTAACATATTAATAATTGTACTTAATGCATACGGACGATTTTTTAGACCGCCGAAGCGCCCTCTCCGGTCATAGTGCCTGTCGCATCGTCGTTGTCCTGGGTGGAATCTTTAAAATCGAACATCCGAACGGCGAGCAGCAGTAACCGAGACATCGTTTTGATTAGTCAGAATTTAGAAAGCACCGGGGTTATCGGATTAACGAAAAGTCTGAGACAAGAACTGAATGGCGAGTTCGTCAAGTGCGTTTGAAAACTTGGACGTCAGTTAAAATAATAAATACAGTAAATTATCATGATACCTTTGCACGCTTTAGGTGTGTGTCGATCAAGGATAACAAAGCGCCGGCGTTCTCTGCATCGACTCCAGTCTATCGGGAACAACTCAAGAAAGGATTGTCCGTAAATGTGTATAAAGACGGCGTTTGGGGCACGTGCTTGTTCGTCCCGTACGAAAACGCCCAAGTTCAGGCGGAACACGCTTTCATTAACACTACGAAAGTCGGTGACGTCAACAGTTTGCAGTTTATCGAAGGAAAATTATCGATTTACAAGTAAGTATTGCGGAGACTATGGAACGTATGTGTCTCATTTTTTTTAAAAAAAGAACCAATGATTTCTTGTTTCTTATTAGCCCGAAAGAATATCCGGACTACGAATTGTGTTACCCGTACTACGTGCCGCTCACCGGTTTGGATACGAAAATCGCAAAGGGCATTTTGCCGAACAAGGAAACCAACGGAGACTTGGTTCAACAAGTAAGCCGATAAAATGTACTATTGTATATAAATCTAATTTAAAATAACGCACAATTCCAGGGCACTTGTCTTGGTTTGGAGTTTTCGGGACGCGATTCTCACGGTAAAAGAATCATCGGTTTGGTGCCGGGCGGAGCTCTGGCCACGTCTGTGCTGGTCAACAAAGATCTCGTTTGGCAAATACCCGACAAGTGGACACTGGAACAAGCTTGCACTGTACCGAGAACTTACAGTTTGGTAAGTTTTATACGATACGATTTTGTGTGTGTGTGTGAGTTTCGAGAAACGCGAAATATATTTTACTATCGAGTTTTGTGGTTTTGTATCGATTTAGGCCTATTATGCGCTCGTCGTGAGAGGAAACGTCCAACCAGGCGAATCCGTGTACGTACACGCCGGCGCAAGTGGAATCAGTACAGCCGCTATTGGCGTCGCTCTGGAATTAGGAGCGATTCCGTACGTAGGAATATTCAACAAAACCCAGAAAGATTTCTTGAAATCGCAATACCCGCAAGTATGTACCACCTATCTACATCCCTAGCGGTTCGACGTTTGTAATACTGATTATCGTATATTATTGCAGCTAAACGACGACAGTTTCGCTAATCTGGCCGACAACGGCGGTTTCGAACAACATCTTTTGGAACAGACCGAAGGTCGTGGAGTGGATTTAATATTCGACACTTATTCAGCGTACGGCAAACGCCAAGAATTCGTCAACTCTCTTGCCGAGTACGGTAGGATGGTCGACTTCGAAGTGTACGCGCCCACATCCGATTCGTTGGGCGTATCCGGAAACCTTAAGAGCATAACGTTCAATAAGATTTCATTCAAAACTATCAACTTTTTGCCGTCCGAAATCAAATACATTCAACGGTTGGTCGGTCAAGGCATCAAAAACGGTAACGTGAAACCGTTAGCCACTACAGTTTTCCCGGCCAGTCAGGTGGTCGAAGCGTTCAAGTCCAACGACAACTGCAGTAATAACATGGGCAGAATTGTCGTTGAAATCAGACCAGAAGAAGAAGGAAAGAAAAACACTTTGCCCGCCAAGAAAACCGTGGCCGCTTCGCCAAAACTATTTTTCACGTCCGAAGAGACATTTGTTATTAGCGGTAAATTAGTGATTGAAACCGTTAATGATTATTGTTAATAATATATGTTTGCGGTAATTAATGTATTTTATTTTTCAGGCGACGAAGAAGTTTTGAGCTTGGAATTGGTTCAATTTTTGGCTTCCAGAGGGGCCCGTAAATTCGTTTTAGCGTCCAAAAATAAATCGTTGTCCGGCTACAAGAGCTTGACGCTTAAACGTCTGAAAAACAAAAACGTCACCGTATCCGAATCTCTTTACGATCCGTCGACCCCTAACGGTGCTGAAAATCTATTGAGAGAAGCAACGGTTCTCGGTTCAATCAGTGGTATTTATCACATAAGTGCCGTGAGTATACCATATTTAAACTTCTATACACACTATTATCTCGACGAATATTGACAATGTTGCAATATTTTAATACAATAGGCCCCGGAAACTGATCTATTGCAATCGTTGAGCGAAAACGATTTTGCGTCGGCAGTAAACAAAGTGTCCGACGTAGTCGCCAATTTGGACACATTGAGCAGGAAACTGGTTCCTCAATTAAAATATTTCGTAGTTCTCGCCCCATCCGTGGCGTCTAGAGGCGCTAAAGCAAAATCCAACTACGTGTTGGCTAACGCGGGCGTTTACAAAGTTGCCGAAGTCCGTAAATTTTCGGGATACCCAGCGGTAAGTGTACCAAAACTACATTAAAAAAAAAAAAAAACGAATATATTTCGCACAATGGGTAATCCACTGTAGTAGATGAGAATTTAGGAAGGCAGGATATAGAGGGAAACGATTAATCATTGTTAACAAAAAAATATTCTGAGCAAAGTTCAATTATACATGTTATCACAGTACAACTCATAATGAGTCTCCTGTTTAATTTTCAAGAATTTTATGTTTGGTCTAACATTATTATCCCCGGAGTAACTATCGAATAAAAATTACGTAAACAACTCGCAAAATTAAAATGTAAATAGCTTAAACATGGCTCAAATGTTTTGAAAATTTTACCTCATCTAAAAAATAAAATCATGATTTTTCTGTCTAAATTTCAAGTTTCTATAAACATTATGAACTGAATTAAAACAAAATACAAAAATAATAAAAGCATTTGTTTTCGTAAATTTCTCCGTTTTTCCTACGTTTTTCTCAAATTTTATGAAGACTGCTCAGAAAATTTAAAAAAAAATTACTTCTCTAAAGTACCATATAGATAAAATTCCCGATCAATAAAAACTCTACATTTGATACATCAGACCAAGATTTCTGGTAGAACTTTTGTACATGATATAAAAAAGTATTAAACATCATTGTAAAACCAATATTTTATTTTTTATATGTATCTAATCGCACTTCAATTCGTTTATCCTGCGCAGACCGTTGTTGAATACGGTGCAATCGATGGAATTTCATCGTCGTTCAACAGTCCAAACTTCTCGGCCGCATCGATCGTTTCGGCTCTGAGTATTCTGGACAACGTCACCAAGCCGACCAATAAATCAACAGTGGTCGCTTTATCGAAGTTTAACGGTCCAAACAACGACGACACCGACGCTGCCGCTTCCGTACTATTGAAAATTGCCAACATTTTCGGTAATTATATCGGTTTATCGTCTGTTGTTTGGGGAGGTTTTTCTGAGTGCGAGACTAACACTTAACTGTACTTCGATTTCAGGCCACAAAGTCGTATCTGCCATCGACGAGACGTTTACTCTGTTGCAGCTCGGTCTGGACACGTTCCTCGGACCCCGCGTTCAAGAAACGATTCAACAACAGACCGGCCAATTGATAAGTCTCGAGGAATTGAGACAAATTACATTTTCGGACCTCCGCGCCAAGCTCAACACACTCCTCGCCTAAGACCGCGACGCGTTACTGTAGATAATAACTCGAACGCTATAGTATTTTAATTTTGATGATTATAAAAGTACCAAATAAACGACGTATATAAATATAGAAAAAGATATAATATTTTTGTTTTTTTATTTATTTTCAATGAACTAAAAATAATGTGACGATCGATGGCAATTCATTCCTTACAGTTCTCTTTTCCGTTAACTAACAAAACTTACGTTTTTTGTCACGAAAATTCGTTTAAACAACATAATTTAACGCGAAGAAACAAAGTCAGTAACTGGCCGAATTTTATGTTTTATAAAATATGTACTCAGCTGTAAAATGGAAAAACAAAATGTCCATCGATTCGTTGAGTTTATGGTTATGTTTACGGCATTGATTCTGAAACTCAAAACCAACGAAAACAACGCCATTAAGGATCATTGTATAAAAATACAATGCATGTTAATTGATTTGCATAAAGAAGTGAATGTTTTAACATTTCGATTTGGAAATAGTAAATACAAATGTCAATTAGTAAACAGAGTTTTGACGACGGTAGACTGATGGAAAAGCTTAAATCAAATGTGGTTGAACGAAAACAAAACGAAATATCATTGAAAAATATGAGTACGAACAAGCGACAGTCCGAATTCAAAAACTAATCTGTGCGATTATGATTTACAAGAAGTCATACTAAAAGAGTTGATACTTTTAATGAGTGTATCACTGTTGTAGGTGAGAAGTGGGGAAGGTAGGATTATTTAATTTATGTCCAACAAAGATATATCCATTTTAACATCTCTGAAAGTTTACAGAAAGTTCAGAGTAAATAAATGCACAGTTAATTAGTCGTAATAATAATAATAATCGACAAGTGGATCTGCTTCAAAATTATAGGTACTTTTCTTTGAACTTTAAAATATTATTAAAAATCAAGAATTTAATGAAAATAAAATGTTAATAATCAAAATTATCAAAAGAATAATAAATTCTTTAAAACAGCGATGTTCAAGTTTATCAAAAATAATAAAATAAAAAGTTATTTTTTAAATTTTTTACGAAAACATAAAAAAATGAATTGCAATAGACGTTTTTGTAGTCCTTAACCAAGTGAGTAATCTAAAGAAAAAAATAGAATTTGATTGCCTTTATTATCTCCGGAAATATTACAATGGATATATCTTCGTGGGACACCCTGTATATGTATTTAACGATAAATCATTGGTAACGAATTATGATTCTGGATAAAGTTCAGTTACACCTGTTTTGAAACAGAGTACCTACGAAATAAAACACTTCTAAATATAAAATACTTATAAATATAGCTCAAATATCGCCAAAATGTTTTAAAATTTGACCAAGTTTAGAAATGACTAATACAAGTTGTCTGTGAACATTTTAGCTCTTTTAAATAATTTTTAAACAATTTACAACAAGCAACTTAAATCGAAAAAAAACGAAACCATTAATGTTGTAAACTTTCCCGTATTTCCTAAGTTGTTTTCTGGTTTTTTTCTAATTATTACAAAAAAGTGGTTGGAAAATCGAAACACGAACTTTTTACAACACAAAAAGATCTAAAATTAACAATTAAAGCCTCTTTACATCCTCTAGTTCAGCGGTTCTCAACGTCAAAACATTCCTTCGTGTACCACAGTTTAAGAATCGCTGCTCTAATTAACTGAATACTTGGGAAATTTAAAAATTGCCTTTCTGCAATTTATCTTTTGTATTTGTTAATTTGATGAATAATTTATTATAAAGTTACTAGACGCCCAATAATCACGGACGGTGTAACGTTAATGAAACATAAACCGTTCTGGATTCTAATTCGATCTCAATTCGTGATTCGCGATCGCAACGGACATAACAATCAGCTCTGGACCCAGAAAAGCGTGTCCCCCGACACGAAGCGTGTTCCGCGAAAATCCAAGTGCGCCCCCCGAAATGTATGTACCGAATTTAATATTGTATGTATTCGTTTTTAATGTAGAAATGTTTTTGAAGATGATAACGGTCAATTAATGAGATCACTCTATCCGATACATTGGTATTTATTTTAAATTATATTATTTTAGTAATATTGTTTAAACTTCGATAATTTTTAGTATTACACTTATTAAGGTATAAATATTATTAATGTATAAGTTATGTAGTGACATTATTGTTTAATAAGCTACGTCCTGCCATA